GCACCACAATTCAAAGGCCTCAATCCTTTGGCACTCAGCCTTCCTTATGGTTCAGCTTTCACAGCCATACATTGCAACTGGGAAAACCATAGCCTTGACTATACCCACTTTTGTTGGCAGGGTGACGTCTCTGCTTTTTAGTATGCTGTGTGTTCAGGACAGGAAAAAAAGCCTTCAACTCCCAGCACCTCCCCAAGGAAGCAAGACCCCAGCACACCACGGAGACCCTGCTCAGACAGCGCTCCCGTGACACCCCGCCCGTGGCTTCTGCCGCAGCAGCACAGAAAAACCGGCTCTGCTCAGCGTCTACCACACCCCTGGCACAAACCTTCATATCGTTGATGTGCAGGTATTCCTCAATGATGGCCTTGGCTTTCTTCTCCAGCTCTTCCTCAGACATGGCGGGTTTGGCAGGCGGCTCGGGGGCCGCAGGCTCACGCTTTGCTGGAGAGAGAGAGAGAGGGAGAGGTCAGTGCTGATGGGAATGAGAGAGGCACCGGCCGTGTGCTCTGTGGCCACTACTCACTGGGCTCCCTGCTCCGGTCCCGCTCCTCTGACATGCTGGATACTTTGCGCACGGTTTCTAGGACGCCCTGCCGTTCACGCTCCCGACTCCTGTCGTCCATCTCCTTGCTGAAGCTGCGCTTGGTGATGGGAGTTCTGTTGCGGTCAGACCGGTCCAGCCTCTCTGAGCGCTCGAGGCGCTCCCCTCTCTCCAGCCGCTCACGCTCGAGGCGCTCCCCTCGCTCACTGCCCTTCTCAGAGCGGTCACGACTGCTGCTGCTTCTGTTGGGGGAAGCAAACCAGTGAGAGACCCCCCCTGCAAGCCAGGCTCTGGAGAAATCACGCTTCAGCTCCAGGGCCCCAAGCCGACAAGAATGTGTCCCCCTCAAGAAAAGCAGGAGATGTTTTGTACCGCCTTGCTCAACGCCAACACAGAAACTGGAACAGCAGAAATGCAAAGGAAGGCCTGCCTGGGAGAAGCCAATGATGCACCATCTAGCTTAGGGCTCAGCAGAGGGCGGAGAGCACCACCTTCCCAGTCCAAGAGTGGCGCCATCTTCTGCTAGAGAGCCTGGGTGAACACATTCCAGGATTCTCCCCCAGCATCGGCGGCCATTCCACTTGAGGAGGCCAAGCTTGGCAAAAGCTTCAAGCCAGCCGTTCCCACTCGCTCCAGATGAGTGAATACAGTGCCGAGGCAGGGATGGAACGATGCAGCGGGTGGACAGGGGAGGCTCGCTGTGCTTCTACCAACAGGCCTGCAGAGGAAGAGGCTGGGAAGGAGGACTGACCTCTGCACCACTCGCCGAACGTCCTGGCTCTCTGCAGGAGCCGACTGCTGCAAGGCCGAGAAGCGATTCAAGGTGCTCGTGGCTGGCCGGTTGGAGTCAGACACTGGGCAAAGGAAGGACGGCTGTTAGATGCCCAGGTGCTTCAGAAAGAACCCCCCCACACACTCTTTTATTGCTCTGGCTGCCTTACCTGGCTCAGCAGGCTTGGCACCTGAACCACCGCTGCTGCCCTTCCCCCAGCTCAGTCGCCCACCAGGCGCAAAGAGCTGGTTATTGGTGTCGATCGAACCAGGCTGCGGGTGGGGGGCAGGAGAGAAACAGAAATTCAGTTGCTCGCTGATTAGATGGAACACACCTTCTATTCAACAGCTGAAGAATGCCACCTTGAGAATGTGAATTTCAATCACAGTGTTTCTAGTCCTCAAGATACAGGTAACAGCCTTCAGGCACGGTGGGCAAGGCATTATGACGCAGGGAGGCGATTCGGGGTTTTATGGGGTATTGACATGCAGGCCATGCTGCGTCAAACAACGAAGCATCCTTTGGGCAATGACTCCAGAGGCCTCACAAAGACTTTCGACCATCAGGCTGTGGGGGTTAATGCACTACAGATCTGGACCTTCTCCCAGAACTTCTCATCCTACCTCTTCTCTCAACTCCCATCTCTACTAGCTACCTGTCTCCAATGTACACCTCTTTTCTTCCTGTCCATGTTAAGATCAAAAACTGCAATTCTGAAACTCAGCCTTGGAAGCAGAATTATGCTACCAATCCCTGTCCCCAGAGCAGAAACGAGGTTCCTCAGGGAAGTATTTGTTAAGATCAGTACGGCAGCACTCAAGGACACGGAGATAAAAGTGCAAATGAAGGTTCCTGTTGATTCAGGGAACTGGATGCCAAGCAGACCTTTCGAATTCTATCCTCCGTCGCCATTGAAAGAAGTGGGGGCGGAAGAGCTTCACCAGGAGCAGAGACCACACGGCCCCAGTGCTGCGACCCCCAAACCCAGCCGCACCCACTCCCACTTCCAGTGCAGACGCTCACCTTGGTGATCTTCGTTAACCTGCTGGTGTCGATCGGTCTGTTGCCCTTGCTGATGGGAACGGTGTTCCAGCCATCATCGGAAACAAGGCTCCCACGCCCACCTGCGGAAAGAGCCCCGTCAAGGCCTCGCCTTTGCAGCAACCAAAGGGGACAAGCCACCCACCCACAGACGCACACGGCTACTGTGACAGTCGGAGCAAGGTGGCCTGCTGGAATTACCGCGCCGCCTGGCACCGATCCGAGAGTACACGTGCACTCCTGCAGCATCAGGCCCACAGCCCAGTGCAGCCAATGGCCATGCTAGCCGGGAAAGGTATGAGCCACATTCCAACACATTTGGCACGGGATCTACTGAGTTCAATATTCTGTTTCCCAAACCGGCCAACCTGAAGCTTCAGGGAAACCTACAAGCAGGGACTGAGGGCAACAGCTAACTTTGCCAGCAACTGGCACTCTGTAACCCTCTGGCCAGAAACCAGGAGGTTCCCTTGGGTCACCCAGGCTAATGGACTGACAAACCAGACCTTCCAAGAATTGGCCCAATCGGGCTTTAAAGACGGCCGGGCTATTAGTCGCAAGAGCATCCTGTGGAAGGCAGGATGCTGTACTGCACTCCTCATGCGCAGGGCCAGCAACAACTCCAGGACCAGATAACCGGCCTGCACTCTCCCAGGTACTCGCGTGACGCAGGCTGGCCCTCAGTCCCAAGGCGAGATGGCCGTCCGGCTGCCCCACTCACCCGCCGAGGATGGGCCTGAAGGCCCTCTCCTCTTGTCCTGCTTGGACATCAGCTGCTGCACTTTAATGTGCTCACGGTGCTCTTCCATCTCTGCTTCCTTGTGGATCTGGTCAATGGTCTTGGGGCCCTGGTCTCCTCTCCGTGGCACCCAGGAGTTCTGCAAGAGGGACACAAAAAGGTGGGGAGAGGTTACACCACCCCAAACATTTAGCAGCATGAAGCCAAACGTGGGGGGGGGGGGGGAGATTAGGTTGAGACAGCAAGATAATCCACTCCCACAGTTGAACATGGTTTGTGTGGGCGGGCTCTGAACTGCTGCTTTTTGCTGAAATGTGGGCTATCATGTTGCCTGACTCTAGCTGCACGAACAAATGCACGAATCGGAACCATGAGCCAGCCCTGAAAAGGATCTATGGCTTGCTGTTGAGTTGTGAGTGGTGGGTTGCCCACTGTGGCCTTTAATAACGCACTCTTCAATGACAGCCAACACCCAAACCATGCCCAGGCCTTGCGTGGGGTCCTTGTGCTGCTGGAACCTAGTCAGAGCCAGAGGGGCAGCCGTTCCACCGGCAGGGTGCAGCAACACCCGCCAGGCCCTTCCTGTCCTGAAACAGCCTCATGAGAGGCTGTTCCTCCTGGCCTTGAAACACATTTCCCCCCACTCTGGTCTATTGACTCTTATTCTTTGCAGGCCAAGTCACGACAGAAGACACGCCGACAAAGACACGTGTGTTCTCGGTCCCCGAGTCCAGCCTAGTGGAATGTTTAAGTGTAGAAACAACAATGGATGGCAGACAGTGGGACGGAAGTGGGTCCTGAGCTCAGCTTCCCCCCATCCGGGGCCCTCCCGATCTCTGACAGTTCCCCAGCCAGCTAAACTAGCCCTGCGGGGCAAACATGGGTCTTGCTGCGGGATGGGCGAGGCTGGCCTCCACAGCAGGACCTGCAGGCCAACGGAGTACTGGGTCTTTTTTCCTGCAGCCCCCTCTGGTACTGATCTTCCCCCTGCACCGCTTCAGGCCGCGCAGTCCCAGAAAAAGCTGGAGCCCACATGGCAGCGTCTCAAACGGCCCGGCCCTCCGTGCTCTGCCATCCGCATGCCATCTCCAACGCAGCCCAGTGCTTGAGGGGAAGCTGGCCCTTGGGCAAAGGTGAGCGAGGAAGGACCGCGCATGCCCCTGGCCAGCACCGTTCCCAGGCTGCAGCCAAGCACGTAGCAGCCCTTGGCTCAGAAAGGGCCGCACCGGGAGCCTTTGCGCATGAGATCCGGCTGCATGTGGTGCTCTCAGGCCGTCGCCTCAGCCGCACGAGGCGAGGGCTGCAGGCTAGCACGGTGCCCAGGGGCTAGCGGGACAGCGAGGGAAGCCCTGGCTTGTGCTGGCACCCGATAGCCTTGGGGGAAAAGGCGGGTCTTGCACCTTACCCGGAGTCAGGCTGGCCTATCCCAGGAAGGGGGTGGAGCTCTCATCTAGCCCAGGGGCCAATAGGGAGCTACAGTCTGCACCTTACCCGTCTGAGATCAATCACATCCTGCAGCATGAAGCGGATACGTGCAGATGTTTTCTTCTCCTTAATTATCTTCTCCATCTGGTTGAAATACTGATCCATCCGAGGCTAGGTGGGCAAAGAAGAGAAAATGAGAATGACCAGAGACAGCAGTGCAGCAGCGAGCAAAGTGGCTGCCACACTCAGTCAGTGGCAGGACAGTTCAAAACAACCAAGAGAAGATCCTTCAGGAAGCCCATGAGGACTAACCTTAGTCTCAGGACTGAGAGATAGGATTCAAGCAAGAGAATAACCAGACCTCCGTAGCAATTTTCTCTAGACCAGGACCGACCCATTAAGCAAGGTGGGGGGGGGATTTTTTCTGGCCCCATTGGGGATCAGGAGGCATGTAGCCCAGTGCCTTGCTCTCCCCCTCACCATTGAAGCTTAGCTGGGGAGACACCCGCCTGCCCCCAAGCTCAAGCTATTGCCTCAGGAGAAGCAGCGGTGGGGCTGGTCATGGCTGCACATTGCTTCATACCTTGCAGCCAGCCCACCTGATCTGGAAGCAAGAGGCTTTCTGATCTTGCAGGGGACTGCCTGAGGGGAAGAAACAGCCTGCAATTCTTTGGCTCCTTAAGCCTCTCAGCCACCTCTTGCCACCCTCTCCAGGTCAACATGTGGGCAAAGGGTGCAGAGCCACACCTGACAGTGCAGGTACCGCTTCTGCAAAACAGAAGGCAGGCCAGCCACTGAAGAGGCGGTGCGATGGAGCCATGTGCTTTCCCTAACAGGCGAAGGGTGGGCCGGAGGAGAGAAGGGCTAGAAAATGGGCATTGCTGGTGGGCCGTCAACTCTTCTGAAGTAGCTACAGGGACAAGCTCTGGCAGAAGGGTTGTAAGGACAACCTTGGTGGAAGTCAGGGGAGAGAAGGAGGGGCAGAAGAGGGAGAACCGGATTCACCTATTCCTCGGGCCAAATCCTACTCGACAAAAGTGCCATCACTGCCCTCAAGACACCTAACCCTTGAGAGGGCGGGCGCGTGTGTGGGCTCGCCTTCAAGCCTACCTTGGCTTTTTCAAAGTCCAGGTCTTTGCCAATGGTGGTGAGCAGCCGACATAAGCACTCGAGGGATTCCTCGTCGTGGTTCTTGAGCAGTTTGACCACGCAGTCGTGCATGATGGCTTCCGTCAACATCTTCAGTTTAAAAAGCTCTCCAATAAACTTGATGTTACCCAGGGAGCGCCGCCGGGCTTTGTCGCGGGCCTCATCCAGCTCTTCTTTCAGACGGGCTCTCTCCTCAGGCTACCAGTAGACAGGAAAAGAAAGTGAGGACAGCTCAGCTAAGCTGCAACCCATTTCTTAACCCCCCTTTGCTTCTAGTTTGGTTAATTTCCTCCATTTTTGACTATTAATTATGAACAAATCACTTCCCGACTTTCGCACGTTGTCCTTACCGCCACACAGGCGCTGGCTGAATTCACGCATCAGGCTAAGCAAGGCCACAGGGTTACTGCATCTCACCTTGTTTGCACGCTTGCAGTGTCGGTGACTGCATGGCTCCCACGCTCCTCCATCTTCCCTCCAGATGGCGGCACATATCCCATCAGCCCCTGTGGCTCAGAGTCAATCCCAGGGTGAACTGCCTGCCTTGCCCATCTCTCCCTCACTGGCTCGCGTGCTCCCCTGGGTGTGGCCTCAGCCAGCTGCCTTCCTCTCTTCCACGCTTTTCTTCTGCCGGCTGCACGGAGAGCATCAGCAAAGGCAGGCCATGCCGGGGCCGAGGGAGGGCCTCCTGCTTGACAGACACTCCCAAGAGGGCCTGCTCGGACATCTGCCTAGGAAAGTCCTGTCTGTCCGTCCCCTGGCCGTGGCGGAGGGAGTGGGGGACAGGGGACTGCTGACAGCCCTCGGGAATACCAGAGGCAAGGCAGGACTGGCGAGGCAGAGCGGGAGGTGGGACTTCTCAGGGTGACTGCTCTGCTGGTGGTGCCCATGCACAGCCTGCATGTTCCTCCTGTGTAAAGCGGCCTTCACAGGAGGAGAAGGCTGGCTCAGGGAGCAGCACACACACACAGCCGTTTCAAAGTGCTGCTCCAGCGAAATTCAGTGACCAAGCAGGAGCGCTGGGGCTGGTGTGGTGTGAAGTCCCACTGCTGTGGCTGGGCATCAGGAAGGCAGCACACAGAGGGGAAAAAGCAGTGGCAGGCAGCCAATCAGAACCCAGCTGCAGCTGCCTCAGCAGTTGCTAAGCAGAACAGGCCAGAGAAGAATCGAGCCTGGAGCGTCCGCGGCAGCTCTTGCCACTAAACTCACTGGTGGAAATGGCCTGGAAACATCCTAACTAGGGTCACACATGACGACAAGCCATGGAAACCTGACAGCAAAGCGCCATTTCTCTGTGTGTTTCCATGGAAACCAAACGTGCCACACTTCAACATGGATGCTGAATCCTGACAGAACGACAAGCCACAGGAGAAGGCAACTGGTCCAGGGTCACCTCATGAGCTCTGTGGCTGAATGGCACTTGCAAACCCCAACCTCCAACGGTGGGCTCAGGAAGTTTGAATCTGACCAGTTCCGGGAACCCAGTGGATGTCTCACTTGCCCCTAGTGGTGCGTACGAAGACCCGCCTGCAGCCTGAGGTGAATGTGCAATACCAGACTATTGTATTTCTTATATTTACATCCTTTCTTTTTTCTGCGAGGAACCCCAGCTGGCTAACACAACCCCCTGCCCTCCATTTTATCCTCACAACAACTCAGGCTGAGAGGCGGTGGGCTCTCAGGGCAAAACTGGGCAGCCACCTGAGTGGGATGGTGCAAACTGGTGTCCTGCAAGAGCCCAATGGCCTTCACGGCCCCTTCCAACGTGTAAGGCTGGCCCAACAGGAGTACACAGTGAGCTTCATAGCCACGCAGGGACAATAACCTGGATCTCCCAAATTCCGATCCAATACTCCGACACTAGGCCACACTGGCTCTCATCATACTAACTCTAAGGACCACTGAAGGTCTCCACTGTTCTCAAGATTTGGGACCAAGGTTAGGGATGACCTACTGAGCACCTGCACCAGGCCTTGAAAGGATTGCCAAGAACGGAGACACCTGCATGTTGATCCACATCCCGTTCCCTCTCCATTGGAACAAGGGTCTCAAGTATCCAAAAGCCACCCAATTCTGCTTCTCTGATGCATCAGAGGTGAGGACAGGCTTGACTCTTCTTGCCACGTAACAGAGGGGGCTGCATGCACCCCCAGACCCTTCCAGCACACCCTGCCTGAGCTCTCCTGCCCCCAGGGGTTCAAACACAACTCACGCCAGCTGTGTCATCCATCTCCTTCTGTTTCTTCTCAAAAATCTCATCATCATCCTTGTCTTTCTCAAACTCTTTCTGGCACCGGTTCAGGAGTACCTTACGAAAGTTGACCATCACGGTTGGTTTGTCAGTAGTGGGGACTTTTAGCTAGAGAAGAGGGCAGACAGAAATCACAGTGAGAAAAGATTTTGGTGCCATGGTTCAGAATTCCCAGTTATGCCTCCAGAACACTGATAGACTATTTTAGGCTGCATTAATAGAATTATCACTTCCAGATCATCTGAAGTTCTAGCAACATAGAAACACAGAAAGTCAGAAGGGGCCACTCGGGCCATCTAGTCAGACCTCCGGCACCAGCCGGTTCTGCTCACAACTTGCCCACCATGTGCATGTCCAGCCTATCCTTGAACACCCAGACTGATGGGGCCTCAACGACCTCTCGTGGAAGCCCATTCCACACCCTCGGGGTCCTAACTGTCAGGCAACGCTTCCTGGCATCTAAATGGAACCTTGGCTCCCTAAGCTTTGCTCTGTTGGAGTGCATCCTGCCTTCCTCTGCAGGGGAGAACAGGTCTCTATCCACCTCCGTGTGACATCCCCTCACATACCTGGATGTCGCCAACACATCCCCTCTGAGTATCCTCTTCTCCAGGCTGAAGAGACCCAGTTCCCTCAGTCTCGCCTCATTCAGCATCCCCTGCAAACTGGTCACCAACCTTGCGGCCCTACGCTGCACTGACTCTAACCCGGCTATATCCTTCCTGTAATGAGGGGCCCAAAACTGAACACAATACTCCAGTTGCAGGCACACCAGAATCGTACAGAGTGGTAGTAATACCTCTCTCGATCTAGAAGCCACACTTCTGGCTATGCAACCAAGAGTGGCGTTTGCCCTCTTGACCACCGCATCACATGGCTGGCTCATGTTCAGCCTGCAGTCAACCAGCACCCCGAGGTCCCTTTCACAAGCGCTGCTCTCCAGCCACTTGTCACCTAACCTGTACTTATGACAGCTATTCCTATGCCCCAAGTGCAAGACCTTGCACTTATCCACATTGAATGCCATCCTGTTGTCTCCTGCCCACTTCCATAGTCTGTCCAGATCCAAAAGGATCTGGACAG